ATTGTAAATCAAGCAGTCTTATTTATACATTATAACAAACAGATCATCGTTTCTAAGATAATCTTAATAAACAAATAAACAAACGGATTTAAATTAAAATGTTGATTAAACAGAGATTACGATGACTGTAATCGGTCGTATCGCTGTCTATTATAATCCCAGCTAATGTACAAACATATCAACGTCTCGATGATAAAATTAGAATACGATTTAAATTATAATTGTTGACTAATTAAGAGAGCTGTGTATTATAATCCAGGTTATAACCAGTGTCCAGTCTGGCATTGATTTGTGTCACAATAGAGTAACTCGGTAATTAGCTGTAATTAACCCATGGGTTAAAACTGTTCATTTAAATATACAAAAGGGCGGGAGATTTATAATTGAAAAACAATAGGCGGGGATTAAGGGTTAATGGGATAAGAGCAAGTTGTTGGTTAAGATCATCAAAGATGGCAGCCATGTTGTTTACTCGTCGTCACACAAACAGAACCTGAATCATTACGGATAATCAGATAAACGTAGACCATAAGATGGACATATTAAGATATTTAGAAATTAATTTAAAAAAAGTATATAACTACTTCTCTGTTATTTAATAACTGGCGTGGTTTCGAATCCCCGGTTGTACGTGACAAGGAGTAGGATCGCCTGTCCAACCTCGTGGGTTTTCTCCGGGTCCTCCGGTTTCCCCCCACTGCTAAAGACCCCTACGCACAAGCGAATTATTGAAATAAAATTAAACCATATGTTAGTCCCGAAATGACCTAGTTTGAGTCGAGTGGACGTTAAACCCCATTTCTCTCTCTCCCTCTCTGTTATTTAATAACACAAGTACTTCTATGTTTACGGTAGACCACTACATAAATATATATAAAAATACGCCCAGATGTTATAATGTATATTGTATAGATAGATATATGAATTGAAATTGGGTTTATAATCCTACTATTCTGCTCCGAATGGGCTAATGAAGAGGGACATACGCCATACAGTGTGCTATGAGGGCAATTTTGCCCGGGCAGCGGCAATATGTTTGACCTACTCTTATATAGAATTCGAACTGCTAAGGGTTCTTTTACGTGCATGGCAATGTATACACGGGACCTCGGTTTTTCGTTCAATCCGAACGACTAGACAGCTGTCCTTGTCAGGCCCTCCGTCCTGCACCACTGACAAGGGGAAACCGCATTGGAATATCCCGATGACCTCTCTCGGCCAATGCAGGGATCGAACACCCGACCACCAGGCCAGCGCCTTACCCACATAGATTAGTCACAGTTGAGCCACATTTACCTTGGGCTTGGGGGGGGGGGTATTGAGAGAGAGAGAGAGAGAGAGAGAGAGAGAGAGAGAGAGCAAATATTTAAATCGTTAGGATTTAGTATCTGAGCCACGTTATATGTTGGACATGGTTTGTGCAATATGATTATGAACTAATGAAAATAAATATCTGCCATAAGTGTTGAAAACCGCATGAAACATGTATCGTGGAAAATCTCTTTACTATGACAAAGTAAGTGAGATTATAAAATAACTGGTTGGTCTGAATCCGAATCAAGGGCAGCAAACAACACTGGTCATGAAAGACTAAATCTACATGTATTTGTTAAGGCCAGCTCATGAAACGTTTCAGTAGTGATTGAAATCATTTGATTTTGTTCCATTCGCTCACTGGGCTGATTGATAAAAATAGCACAGGTATCAGGGGCGGATAATTTGATAATGTGTCTCCCCTGTAAATGGACCCAGGGGTTAGTTGACTACGTCGGAACGATACCACCGCGGACCGAGGATGTTTTAGAGGGTACTCCTAAACTCAATGGATCACAAAAACGTGATCCACGACGCAAAGCGGTTTAGTGCGTTACCTAAAGCGTGATTTTGTTCCGTCTAATAGTAATTGCAAGAGGGCTGCACCACACATAATTACACAAAACAAAACTACGAACAAGACACAATACGCAGAAATCACAAACAAACGTCCATATGATATTAAGCGAATCGATCCGGGGGGAGAGGGCTAGCCGTAAGCGTCCACTGCGCTATACAGTCCTGGACCTGTAGTGATATAGATTTCACTCAAAATTGAAAGACAATGTGACGTTTTTTCCAAAAAAGAACGAACAAGAATGGATATTAACATCTCATCAACGCAAAACTTTGAAACTAACGTACGGTTATTTTTTTTTTGTATGGACCTCCTCCACCAGATTCCCAATTATTCAGTCCATACAATAAAAAACATTATGAAATCTGTATAAATATTATATTTATTATCTAAATATATTTCATACATTATTTGACAGAATATCGCCTCTCTATTTATATACTGACATATACAGCATACACACAGACATATGCAGCATTATAGTGGACATATGCAGCATAAAGACAGACATATGCAGCATTATAGTGGACATATGCAGCATAAAGACAGACATATGTAGCATATATACGGATATATATTGACACTGCAGCATAAATACTAACATGTGCAGTATCTAAACAGATAAGTGCAGCAAATCCAAATGTATGCAACACATCTAATTATATGCAGCACATCTAGACATATGCAGCATACACACAGACATATGCAGCATACACACAGACATATGCAGCATACACACAGACATATGCAGCATACACACAGACATATGCAGCACTCTGAGAATTGAGCGTTACAATGCACAGAATGTAAATATTAGTAATAAAGAATTGTGCATTCATAATTTTTTTTTTAAAAAGATCTGGAAATTTATACCAAAAATAAGGTGCTCTATTTCATTTTGTGTGTATTTTTTTTTCTAATTTAGATACCAAATATAGCTACTGACATAAAAAAAACCAAACGCCATAATCATCAAACATTTTTGTTGAAAGCTAAAAGAAGAATTTTCTTAATTTTCAGGCATTTATACATTGAAACCTCATTGAACAAATTCGAGTAGAAGCCTCTTCATATTATCCTATTAATGTTCACATTAGTTTCAATATACATTTACTGTTCTACAGTAGGATGGTAAACCCCATTTCATTTCATTACTATTCTTTGACATAACATAAATATAACAAGGGATAGTCATATACCAGTCACCTTAAAGTTGCAAATTTTCAAGTTATATTTTTAAAATGTATTAAAATAAAGCCTTAAAATAAATGGTATCCATAAACAGTCCTACCTTGTTAAAGAATAATCCTATTAATCCTATAATTCGCTACTGCCAGCTGAGAAATTGGCAAAAATATCATTTTTAACTTCAAATTCCAACGTTGGAAAATGGCTGCCCCATGTTGTCAATAGCAAAACAGGGGAGGTAATGGTGTTATTTCCTGTGCCATAGATTTTTTTTAAGGGAGGGAAATAATGCCCATGATCGTATAAGTGATTTGATAACCTATTGAGCAAAAGACATAGAAATAATTATGTTTTGACTTTCTTAGAAAATTTGAAATTCTCGCTTTAACATCATACCCCTCAAAACAAATGAAATAGGTTTAACATCCTACTGTTCTGCACCGACTGGGCTAATGAAGATTACCCCCCCACCCCCCGCCTAAAAAAACCCAAAACAAAACAAAACAAAAAAAATCCCAACAATTATCAATATTCCTAACAAAACAATTCTCTGATATTATTTTAATGGGTGTGGTATTTCTATAATCAACTAAATAAAAGCCATCCATTCTTAAAATTCTGAGAAAAGATGTTCCAGGTCCCATATTAATTTTAATACATATTTATGTCCAACCACTATAGGTCAAAGAGAGAGAGAAATGGGGTTTAACGTCCACTCGACAAAAACTAGGTCATTTCGGGACTAACATATGGTTTAATTTTATTTCAATAATTCGCTTGCGCGTAGGGGTCTTTAGGAGTTGGAGGAAACCGGAGGATCCGGAGAAAACCCACGATGTTGGACAGGCGACCCAACTCCTTGTCAGTACAACCGGGGAATCGAAACCACGCCAGTTGACTCAATGACAGACCTAAAGATACAACAATCACGCGCTAACCATTCAGTCACCCCCCTCCCCTCCCCCCCCCATACTTGTTGAAGAACAATTACTAATTTATTTGGGCAAGAGAATACTCTCCGAAAAATCACCCAAATAAATTAGTACTTATTCTTGTATAAAATGCTCTATCATTTTGGGTTGTCACGTACAAGCGAGGAATCGAGAGAGAGAGAGAGAGAGATGGGGTTTAACGTCCACTCGACAAAAACTAGGTCATTTCGGGACTAACATATGGTTTAATTTTATTTCAATACTTCGCTTGCGCGTAGGGGTCTTTAGCAGTGGGAGGAAACCGGAGAACCCGGAGAAAACCCACGAGGTTGCATAAGATTTAGATAGAGAGTTCGCTGTTCTTGCTATAATAGTTCATAAATAGATAATGAGAAATGAATATAATGAAAATATTAAAATTAAATTATTTGAAGAGAAGTTTCGAGTGCTGGAAGATATAGTGTAGATCGTTAATTATCGTAGCAAAGGTACTTGATAAACGTGACCAAGTCTTGATTATACTTTTTACCTTTAAATCTCTCCAATTGGGTGATCTAGAGAGTTGATTATGGGCTAGGTGGTCATGTTAATAAATGTATAAATAATAGTTTATATAACATTTGAAGACAAAATTAAGACCTGAGTTAGTAAAAGAGAGAGAGAGAGAGAGAGAGAGAGAGAGAGAGAGAAACAGGGTTTAACGTCCATTCGACACAAACTAGGTTATTTCAGGACTAAGATATGGTTCAATTTTATTTCATTAATTCGCTTGTGCGTAGGGGGTCTTTAGCAGTGCGAGGAAAACGGAGGACCCGGAGAAAACCCACGAGAATGGACAGGTGACCCTATTCCTTGTCACGTACAACCAGAGAATCGAAACCACACCTGTTGACTCAATGACAGACCTAAAGATACAACAATCACGCGCTAACCATTCAGTCACCCCCCTCCCCTCCCCCCCCCCATACTTGTTGAAGAACAATTACTAATTTATTTGGGCAAGAGAATACTCTTCGAAAAATCACCCAAATAAATTAGTACTTATTCTTGTATAAAATGCTCTATCATTTTGGGTTGTATTTGGTTGTAAACAAACATTGATCTATGAATACAAATTCCTTAATTTGGATAAAAATCAAGAATTTCTTCTTTCACAATCAAGTACATGCAGTCATGCTCATCCAGTTGACTAGGTGTCCACAGGGATGCTGCTTCAAAATTTTGTGCACACTAATTTCTAAGTACCATATTGTTCTGACTATATCAAATATTTATAGTTTGTTTCTTACATGGCATCAATGACACATCAAGACTCATTTTGACTCAACATCATGGCTATCCATTCACACACATTTTGACTCAACATCATGGCTACCCACCAAGACTCATTTTGACTCAACATCATGGCTACCCATCCAGATACATTTTGACTCAACATTATGGCTACCCATCCAGACACATTTTGACTCAACATCATGGCTACCCATCCAGACACAGTTTGACTCAACATCATGGCTACCCATCCAGTCACATTTTGACTCAACATCATGGCTACCCATCCAGACACAGTTTGACTCAACATCATGGCTACCCATCCAGTCACATTTTGACTCAACATCATGGCTACCCATCCAGACACATTTTGACTCAACATCATGGCTACCCATCCAGTCACATTTTGACTCAACATCATGGCCACCCATCCAGTCACATTTTGACTTAACATCATGGCTACCCATCCAGTCACATTTTGACTCAACATCATGACTACCCATTTAGACACATTTATCCAGATACAGTTTTACTGGTATAATGGTTCATATAATTATATGGCATATCTTACACTCCAAACAATACATAATATGCTCGAAGGATTATATTGTTTGGGCATGAGGTAGTGAAATGAAATGGGAGTTTTACGTCCTACTGTTTTGCTCCGACTGGGGCAATGAAGACGGGCATACGCCATACAGTATGCTATGTGGGAAATTTTTCCCAGACAGCGGCACTATTGCCTACTCTTAAATCGAATTCCAACTGCCAAGGGATCTTTTACATGCACGCCAATGTAAGCACGGAACCTGAACGACTAGACAGCTGTCCTTGTCAGTCCTGGACCACGCACTGACAAATCGAAACCGCTCTAGAAAATCCGGATGAACTTTTTCGGTCAACATAGAGATTGAACCCGCGACATCCAGACTAGCGAGCCAGCATCTTACTCATTTAGGCACCGTGACTCCCCCAGCTAATGAAGAAGGCCATCATATGTCATGCAGTGTTCTATAATGGGTATTCAGCAGTGACAGGAAACCCAGAGAAACGATGGGGTTAGACAGGCTACTCTAGTCCTAGTCACCTACAATCCTGGAACTGAAAACATGCCACCTGATTCAATCACAGAATGTATCTAATGCACCCATGTTGGTTGAGAAAGTTTCTCCAGAATCAGGCCCGGAGTTCACAAAGCATTTTCAGATTTACCTTAAGAATTTACTCAACTTTCAATCACTGTTTAGAGAAATATCTTTGATCCAGAAACACAAAACTTTGACATAGTTTATTATTGGTGTATTTGATACATTAATACAACAAAACTTTTTTTAACAATTTTGAGTAAATTCTTAACTTAAGTCTAAGAATGCTTTGTGAACTCAGGGCCAAGCATCCCTTGGTCAGTGGTGTAGTCCAGACAGCTGGACAAGGGAAAGCTTCTAGTAGTTTTGATAGAAAGGAAAACCTAATTCATATCTATAAACGTTGGCAGCACAACAAAGATCCCCTGGCAGTTGCAAAATCGAAATAAGAGTTATCCCAGAAAGTTTCTCATGATATTTCAGATTTTCCCTTGTCAGTGATGCAGGATAAAGGGCCTAGTTATTCAGATAGTACAAAAAACTCCTGTGTACACGTTGTCATGCCCGGAAACGAACAATCCAACAGTTGAAATTGGATGAAAAAATGCGACTGTCCATAAAAAATTCCCACCACCCATGGCTCACTGCATGGCGTATGCTCATTTTCAGTATCCCGGTCGGTGCAGAAAAGTAGGAAGTTAAACCCCATTTCATTTTTTTCCATATTGAAACCCAATCTTATATATAGTAATTTGTTTACAATGATGTCCCATTATATTTCAATTAAAGAGCTTGTCTTTTATTTGATTATGAAAACAGAATCACAGAGATATATAAAATAATTTAAATGTCCTCATCACTAGACGCCTGACTACCACTGTGTCGACGATAGTAACGATGGGCTCGTTCCAGTTTTTTCTTGTAGCGTTTAAATTCATTCCAAGTTGGTTCACTATCTGTACCGTTGTTAACGGTTTTGTTACCAGGGTCCGAACTTGTTGACTGGCAACTCATATTTTCTACTGGTTTTGCAGAATCTAAAGTCCTCTGGATTTGCTCTGTGTTCACCTCTGATGATATTCCACTGGTTGTATCATCAGAGTCTAAGTTAGTATTATTAGCTTCTTGACTACTAGAAGACGTAGATGAAACATTCCTCAAATGTCTAGAATTGTTTTGTGGGCCGTTTGAATGACGTTTTGATCTTTCACGATCTTCGGCTGTCAATTTATCAGAATTATCGTCCATTTTATCATTATTACGACCATGTTTTGACAATGGATTTTGGTCCGAATCAACATTATTATTAATCTGTTGGTCATAAGTGTTATCACAATTTTCATTAGTATTGTTGTTTCTCGGGAAATTCATATTGTTTCGTACATTGCTTTGTTCCTGGTTTGTTTTGTTCACATCCATCGAGCTTGTTATCACCGATACATTAGTTTCATGCAGAAACGGTCCATATGCATTACTGGCATCAGAATGATCTTTACAGGAAGTAACAGTCGATGATGGTAGTTCCGCAGAAACTGGAACTCCAACATCTGATTGGTTAATATCACACAAACTGGCGTGGGAATTATCATTACTTTCGCTGTCACTGTTTAAAATCTGACTGCGTAAATCGCGTAGTTTTTTCAGATGAAATTTGATATTGCCTTTTTTGGAGTTCGTATTGTTTGAAACAGTAGTTGCACTCGTAGAACATTCCCCAGGTCCATCCATTAATTTCTGCAACTTTTCATGACTGAAACCTGGATTTGTGTCATTGTCGGAATCCGAGTCAGATACAATATGGCGCTTAAGAGTTCGTTTACATTTCATTTTTTTCTTAGCTTCCATATTCTTCATTAACGTTTCTTTTTTATTGTTTGCGATAATATCAGAAATACTCCGTCTGTTTGTATTATTCGGCATTTCGGTTCCGTCTGCGTTTGTCTCATTATTCTCTGATTCCGTCGAGTCCTCCACGTCTAGGAGACGAGAAGTATTACTCTGTTCGGCTGTTTGAGCGGCCATTACACTTGCGAATGCTAACGTGAAAGGACTAAGGCCATCATCAGAGTTATCCGAAATAAGTTCTTCTGCTATTCTTGGGATCACGACATCCTGCGATTCTGCACGTGAGACCTGTAATATTCGATCATACAATTCTTCTTCATTGCTGGAGAACTCTTCGCTCGAGCTCCACGTTTCCATCTCACGTTGAACTAACGAATCGAAGAACGCCATCATCCTAGGATCCTCCTCCGTTGAATGCTGAGTATAGTCATGTGACATCACATGACCACTACGTAGAACAAGATTAATATATTCCTCGTGGGTATAAACTGGTCGTTCAATTGGTTCTATCTCAGTATTTGTTTCTGGATCTATCTTCTTCAGAGGAAAAGGACTCCATGCCTGTAAATAGTCAGAAAAAAACATTTATTTCAATAATTCGCTTGCGCATAAGGGTTTTTAGCAATGGGAGGAAACTGGAGGATCCGGAAAAAACCCATGAGATTGGACAGGCGACCCTACTCCTTATCATGTAGAACCGGGGATTCGAAACCACACCAATTGACTCAATGACAGACCTTGCGGTACAGCGCGCACATGCTAACCATTTGGCCATCCAACGCCCCCCCCCCCCGGATGAATGCGGGCGTCAACAATATATATACAGCCACATTTCATCAGGGGTGCATAAAAATGGAAAATGACTCAAAGTAAACATTGTGGCCTTGTGTTGTCTTGAATGTGTGTTTGTTTCTTACCTTGATTGTTTTCTCAACACCTGAGGATAAAATTAAACCAGTATCTATATTTGATCGAACTTGATTGACTATTGACCTATGTCCCTTTAACACTAGATGAGCACTGTTTACATACACTCCTAAAAATATACAAAAATAAACATTGTTTAAATATACTCCTAATATACAAAAATAAACACTGTCTGCATACACTCCTATAAATATACAAAAATAAACACGGTTTACATACACCCCTAAATATAAACAAAAATAAATGCTGTTTACATACACTTTTAAAAATATACAAACTAAACGATAAACACTGTTTATATACACTCCTATAAATATACAAAAATAAACACTGTTTACATACACTCCTAAAAATATGCAAAAATAAACACTGTTTACATATACTCCTATAAATATAAAAAAATAAACATTGTTTAGAGCACTCCTTAAAAAAATATACAAAAATAAACACTGTTTATATACAATCCTAAAAATATACAAAAATAAACTCTTTTTACGTGCAAGACATGTATCCGAACAACTAGATATGATTCTCTGTCAAGCTCACTGACCAGCACCAATGACAGGGGAAACCATGGCATATATTCTCAACCAATACTGGGACCTCCAGATTAGCGAGTCAACGTCTTACTCGTAAACAATATAAAGCGACAGAGGTTTAAAACCTAGGGCAATTCATATTTTAATTTAAATAATCATTTATACGCAAAGTTAGGAATAAGATTCCATATGGTCAGCCTGTGGAATACTTTTTCTCATGCATAGAAAAGGGTCGAACTCAAACATTGCATAGATGACATGACTCCGGACACACACCCCTTTTCAAACATCAATGAATTAATACTGGGTAGTTTATTAATCTAGGTAAATGTTTGAAACGATAAAATATATAATTTTATTGTAGGTATAAAGTATAACTTACTTTCCGATAAATCATCTGGTATTTTCCATACATAAACATTAAAATCATCTGATCCTGATACAACATACTGTTAAATATATAAACAATTTGACCCTTAGAGAGAGAGAGAGAGAGAGAGAGAGAGAGAGAGAGAGAGAGGGTTTAAAGTCCACTCGACACAAACCAGGTCATTTCGGGACTAACACATGGTTCAATTCTATTTCAATAATTAGCAGATGGAGGAAACCTGAGGGTGAAAACCGTGAAAACCCACAAGGTTGGACAGGCGACCCTACTCCTTGTCACGTTCAACTGTGCAATCGAAACCATGCCAGTTGACTCAATGACAGACCTTATGATACAAAGCGTGTGCTCACCATTCCGCCACCCCCACACCCACTCAATGTATACACCAGGATTTATAACTGCAATATATATGAGCTGACATATCCGAAACATCGGTCCATTCTATTCAACCAGGATTAACTCTTGCACCTGCTATTTGAATTAACTCTTCTGCCTGCTAGATCTCCAAGGTCCAAAAATATCACAAATTACCAAAATTTACTGAGGTAAGTTGATGGAGTCTTGGTCGACCATGGTCCATCTTCATTAGAAAGAAATGAAATTGGGTTTAACGTCCTACTGTTCTGCTTCGAACTGGGCTAATGAAGACGGTCATACACCATACAGTGTGCTTTGAGGGAAATTTTGCCCGGGCAGTGGCACTATGGCCTACTCTTATATCGAATTCCAAATGCAAGGGAATTTTTATGGGCATGCCAATGTATACACGGGACATCTTCATTAGCCCAGTAGGAGCAGAATAGTAGGACATTAAACCCCATTTCATTTCATTTCTTTCATTTCGTTCTTTCATTTCATCGACCATAGATTTCTTACCTGATCTCTATCACCTGCGAAACAGCAAGATTTCATCGTACACGAGTTAAAATATCCCATATGTTCGAACTCGGCTACTGGTTTAGAACTGTGTATATTATATATCACAGGTGGAAGACGTCGTCTCAGTGCCAGAATCTGGTTGCCCATACCATTGATCCTTACACTCATACAACTCTGCTGTTCAAATTCACCTCCATATCTCATCAAACAGCTAAAATATACAAACATATCTCATTAAACAGCTAAAATATACAAACATATCTCATCAAACAGAAAATGAAATATACAAAGAGAGAAAGAAATGGGTTGAACGTCCACTCGACACAAACTAGGTCATTTCGGGACTAACATATGGTTTTAATTTTATTTCAATTATTCGCTAGCTCGTAGGGGTCTTTAGCAGTGAGAGGAAACTGGAGAACCCGGAAAAAAACCATAAATGTTATGCAAAACACTTCAAAATAGCAAATGGTACATGTATGTATGATTTTCAAAACTTTTGTGGAAAAACAAAACATTTACATCTCCAATTATTTCAAATATGAAGGGCATGATGCTGGGCTTCGGTTCTAGACGACCTTGACCTTGGGTATCGGAGGGCAACAAATCAGACGAAAGGTTAAAGGTTAGGTCAAAAGGTCATGATACTTAAATATACTCCTACATACAAAATTGGTACCAATTTCATTGAGATTGATCCACTAGTAGCTGAGATATGGGGCTTTAAAGATTAGAAGGATCGTTCATTTTAACCCAATTTCGTAAATTTTGGTTGCCCATAGCAACCAAACCGATCGTCCAATTTCGTTAAAATTTAAGAAATCAGTTTTGCCACCATACAGAAACATGTACATAAAATTTCATGAAAATCCAAGGAGGGAGGGTTAAACCCATTGGGTGATTTGACATGGAATGACCCCAAACAGCTACAATATATTAATCATACCAACTAGTCATTGAGTCTTGTGAACTCAAAATTTTATATTTTATTTTCAAATCGATAATAATAAATAAATAATGCACTGGAATCCAGAAAGCGTATTCTTTTTAAATTATGAAGTCAAGTTTTCAGAGCATTAAGCTGTCAAATATACTTTTAAAAAAATAATAATACCTTCTTGGTTTCCGTATATCCCACAATCCAATTCCTTCTCTTGCGTTAGCTGTTGCTAGGAGACGGGGTTCTGTAGGGTTGTACATAACAGCATGCATGGAGGAAACATAATTGGCTAGACAGAATGGTTCTGAAAATAACATACATATCATTGTAATCAAAACAAATGGAAAATGTTCTCAAGAATCACACAAGTTTGCAACACTGAGTAATTGTGAACAGAGGCTTTATGACTGACAAAGCCTGAATCTGTGCCTGACATTGTCTGTGACAGATGCCTTATTTCCAGGCTTGCTGAATCCAGTTGTTCTCTAACATCATAAATTAAATGTTTTATTCAGGAATTTATTGGTTCTCTAATATCATATAATAATGGCTACGGTGGCTAAGTAGGTAAGACTCTGGCTTGCTAGCCTGGAGGTCGGGTGTTCGATCCCTGCATTGTTCGAGAAAGTTCATCCAGGTTTTCCAGCATGATTCCCCCTTGTCAGTGACGCAGGACGAAGGGCCTGACAAAGGACAGCTGTCTAGTCATTCGGATGGGATAAAAAGACGAAGTCCCATGTACACATTGGCATGTATGTAAAAGATCCCTTAGCAGTTGGAAGTCGATATAAGAGTTGTCCGTAGCGCCGCTGTCTGGGCAAAATTTCCCTCATAGCACACTGTATGGCGTATGCCCATTTTCATTAGCCCAGTTCGGAGCAGAAAAGTAGGACGTTAAACCCCATTTCATTTCATTTGTACCTGAATCTGCTGGTTCTCTAATGTCATATATTAAAACACGGCCATCATCACAAGCACTGGCAAATACGTTACTATTATTAGGATCTGTTGATAAACCATACACGGCATCTTCATGCATAAAATTATCTACTGGATTCCCCCTGAAACAATACAAGGTCATATTTATTTATCTAGGGATTCCCCCTGAAACAATTTAGTGTTATAAAATTATCGATTGGATTCCCATTGAAACAATACAAGGTTATATTTACAGAATGCTTTAACAATACTACGGTTAATTTAAAACCATACAGTAATTTTGTTATTTCTATGGCTAGGGGGCTACGGATGAAAGGTTTCCCTTGACAGCAGTGTTTCTGAGTACTCTTCAACTGCCAAGGGATCCTTTATGTCACTGGGGGGGGGGGGGGGTCTAGTGGTTTAACGTGTACAAGTGAAATCATAAGTTCTGTCATTGAGTCAAGTGGTGTGGTTTTGAATCCTTGCATGCACATGACAAGAAGTAGGGTTGCCTTCCAAACTTGTGGGTTTTCTCTGGGTCCTCCAGTTTCCTCTCACTGCTAAAGGTTCCTACGTGCGAGCTAACTATACTATTGAAATAAACTTGAACCATAATATGTCAGTCCCAAAATGACCTAGTTTGTGTCGAGTGGAGTGGTCGTTAAACTGCACTTTAGGCACATGCACCAGGAAAGGATCTGATAACATTTCTCATACTTAATTATGTATTTTTCGATAACCAAATTAACTTTTTTTTTCTTTTAAGACTACAACAATCTGGTTAAAACACAGATCCTATTTCATTTCGTTTTTTATAGTTCAAAATTTCGTTTTACTTGTCTTTACTGTACTACGATCTGAAATAGTTGTTATATAACAGGCTTGCTGGTTGATGTGAGGAATTAGCCAATGAAACAGTCTGTTACGGTGCGTTTTTGGTGTGAGGTGCATGGAATTGTAGATAACCCCACATCATAGGTCAAAAGCCAATCGTATGACCCCTTGACGCAACCTTCTAATACAACCGGTCAGATCTTCAGTAAAGGCCATCGAAAGATCTGTATTTTAAACAGATTGAGACAACAAGTACTTACGTGGCTGCATCATGTACAAACACCTGTTCATCGTTACCTGAAAATAAAATACAAAATATAACATCATAACTAATGTAGTTATTTCAGGAATAAATAGATTCCAGTCGGATCAGAACAGTAGGACGTTAATTAATGTAGTTATTTCAGAATAGATCGATTCCAAATGTCTTACAATTAATTTAATACAACCAGTAAAATAATCCCTTGGAAACAACATTAAGTATTCTTTAGTGGTCGAGAGCGAGACATTAGGTAATATATTTTAACAACAAGAGTGTTTTTACAATATATTACGCAATGTCTTAAGCTCGAGACCATTAAACAACTTAAAATACAGACACTTGCACGTGCTTTGCAATGAAATACGTCACTCGAGTTCAATATTTTACCAAGTTACGCTTGGCACATTGCCCGTACGATTATTTGAAATAATGGTACTCCAACATCAAAGGATGACGTCACATCTGTATTCTAATGAGAAAGCTGAAACTCTGAAAGGAATATCAGTTCAAAAATGGTTCAGTTATGTTGAGTATTCAGCATGATGACTGCAAATGACAAGGCAACACAGCCTATGATTTGTGCTGAAATCTCTTTATTGGCCTCATTTTAATCCGAATGAATCGAAGCGGGGAAATTATCTACTTTTGATATTTTGATTTTGTTTACTCAACTAAATTTTAAATAATCAATCCAAGATCATTGTAAAATGGATAAAGCCGTGGAAAATTTAATGTTATCCGAAATTGCACAGACATTATTTGAATAATCTAGATTTAAATTTGAACAGAATAACCTTAAGGTTTTTTTCTCTATATCACTATAGCAGGCTTGGAAATAACGGTTGTAGATGTACCTGACACAATATCAGGCACTAATGAAATAATACCCGATATTTTTAACTTAGTGCCGGACATGTATTAATAATATCAATAAAAAAGACAAATCGGTGCCCGACAAAATGACAGGCACCAGAGGTTTAGTGCCTGACAAAGCCTGTATTTGTGCCTGACATTGCCTGTGACAGGTGCCTTTTTTCCAGGCGTGCTATACCTACATATACCTGTACCTACACATACGTGTACCTTTACCTTTACCTATACATACTTTACTTAACCTACACATACCTAAATATACCCTAACTGTACCTACATATACCTGTACGTAGTTATGTTATTCCTGTTCGTAGTTATGTTATACCTGTACCTACATATACCTGCTCTGTACCTACTTATACCTGTACCTTCATAGCTGTACCTAGTTATACCTGTACCTACATATATCTGTACCTAAATATAACTGTACCTAGTTATATCTGTACCTACTTATATCTGTATCTAAATATACCTGTACCTACCTCCAGAAAATATCTTCTCATTATCTTTATCAAATGCTAGAGAGAATATATTACTTCTATGTTCTGATTTCATAATTGCTGGAGAACCATTATTAGATATTGCTCTCTGTGTATTCCATAATAATACTCTTCTATCATCTCCACCTGTACAATTACATGTAATATATATACTAGTAGGCTAAAATATTAAACTATGTATTGGACTGATGCATAATAGGCAAGGGTGGTGCAGGAATTTCTATAAAACTAAGAATCGAGTAGGCTACAGGGAGATTTGGGGTTATTTGATAAGGCCAACTTCAATAGTTTGGTCAATGGTCACATGATGTAGACAAGGCTAGGGCTAATCCCAACCCTAACCGTAACCTTGGACCTAGTCCTAATGCTTACCATAACCCTAAACTACACTCTCGACAACAATCACATGGCCTAACCTATTTACATCTCAGCGACCTTGACGAAAATTGAGTTGGCCGTAACAAATAGATTTAGCCCAGAAAGGTTTGGGGTGCAAGAAGTGTAATGCAGTTAATATTAGGTCCACTACATTACATGTATACATGTATATATCTCTCTCTCATTAAAAATTGCAGCGGTCACTACTTCATAATATATATACCAGTAGTATTTTCACAAAAATTTACTAAATGACTCTTGATTAGATGAAGTTTTCACACATACTGCTAAGCAATTCTTTCATCTATCATAATAGGACCCCTCCCACACACCTATCTCTAGGCAGGTTGATAACTGGGATTCCGTTACAAAAAGTCAGTACAGCACAGTTTTAAATTGAAATTTGCAATGATAGAACTTTCTGAGGGAGGGTCGGGGTGGCTGTGTTGGTTTCAAACGCAAGACAAGAGCATGTATTCACTCGCAAACACTTGAGCTGTCACAATGTGACAATGTTCAATGGGACCTAATGAATGTTGTTAGTAGTCTAGATTGAAATTGAATACATCTGATACAAAATATCAACTGATCACTTGTAATGTATGCTTGATTAAACATGCGAATGACATTTTAACAAATGACATTTATTGTTTCAATTATAGGCATAACTTAATAAACTCGTTTACATGCTCGCCCAGTGAGGCCTAAATAAATAAAATCTACATGTCATTCAATGTATTTAACAATTTGACTGTGACAACACGTCATCCTTACCAGATGCTATCATTTCACCACCATTGTTGGAGAATTCAATAGCATTTACACATCCATAGTGGGCTTTCAGGTCTGTTTGGTACAGCCCTGTAGCTAATGCCAGCTTTTCCCTCAACAAACGTTGAAAATTACTTGGATTTAGGCCATAAATTCTGTTATTTATAAAACTTATACACCCATACTCTTTTTTAAATGTCAATTCTGATTTCCTGTTGCCTAAAGCTGTGCACATTGTACGTCTAATTTTGCCTAAAAAGACATCAAGAATTTCTAATAAAATGTCAATAACTTTGGGTTGGTGTTTTGATGAAGAATGACTGGATCTTCTAGTTCACATTATCTTAGACTCGTACAACCAGAAATAAATAATAATTTTTTCCAATTCAAGTTAATATCCTCGGTATTTTTTCTTGTCAAGTGGGTATAGTAAGTAATGTTTTAAAATAACAACTGATGATAAGCATATTAAAGAAAAAAATATATTTTTTTAAAGATTAATTCCTAGTTTTCGGCATTCGTTTAGCCAAGAAAATAGTGGAAGGGGAACAACTCTATTTTAGATTTGTTAATTATTGGATAATCAAGTCTAAAGGTCATAAAGGGGAAATAACTCCGAAAAATCGAGGATTGGTTCACTTCCTGTACTAGTCTCACACTTGTTTTGACTTTGTGTTAAAGAATTATTTATATATTGGTGTGTTTTAAATGTAACGTAAATACATAAGTTCTTATTATGCCCCCAAAACAGAGGAGAATAGCCTTGATGGGCTACAGATCTGTTGGTAGGTATTTTATCTCTTGTCGGTGGCTAGAAAACTAGACTAGAACGTCCTGACCCACATGTCTTTGTTTTTGTTTATGTTATGTTCACGTTGTTGTTTTTATTTGAAAATAAACAGGGCATAACCGTCCACTTGCATTACGAAATCGCAGTAAACGAAAAATATAATTTTAAGATAATTAATAATATGTGCTTAAAATAAATTACGGTTGCAAATAACAATCATTTCCTAGAAATATTTTGAGCAAAAATCGTCTACTCATCAGTAATTTGATGAGTAGGGGGGAGAGAGGGCAGTTAACTTGCCCATGTACAAAGTCGTCCACATTTAATGGTAATCACTATGAATTCTTTTCGTATCCCTAACATAACCAGGCGGTTGGATGGCCGAATGGTTAGCACGTGCGCGCTGTATCATAAGTTTTGTCATTGAGGCAACTGGCGTGGTTTTGAATTCCCGGTTGTACATGACAAGGAGTAGGGTTGCCTGTCCAGCTTTGTGGGTTTTCTGCGGGTCCTCTGGTTTCCTCCCACTGCTAAAGACCACTACGTGCAAGAGAATTTTTGAAATAAAATTAAACCATATGTTAGTCCCTAAATGACCTACATGTAGTCTGTGTCGAGTGAACGTTAACACCCATATCTCTCTCTCTCTCTCTCCTAACATAACCCATGCCGCATGGACGTCTCAACCAACGTATTTTGATATTTGTGGCCGACTTAAACTAGACCTTTCGTGTGAACGAGATTGCTTGTGGACAATTATATAACTGGCATGCATTTGAGTAAAGTAGGATATATAATCTTGTTAGGTCTCAAGAACTGTACAGTTACATATACATAGATAATGCTACTAGGTCTAGAGTAAGTGATATTAGGCTATTGACAGGCCCTGTCATAGTCAATCTGATTAAAATACTGCAATTCGATTGGCTGACCAATATGCAAATTGGATATGTGCAAATTGATTTTACTGGTCAGCCAGTCGAATTGCAGTATTTCTTAAAATTTCGATTGTATCTTAGTTTAAGTTTTCGTGAATAAGGGCCCAGATCTATATTTTGTTTCATTTTTTTAAAAATACTTTCGATAGCGTCTACTACATGAAGATCAGACCAGTTGTAACGGGAGATCGCGTCAGACATCATTCGAGCAGCTTTTGACCCTATGATGTTATACAATTGATTAACCAATCAGCGTACATGTAGATGTTTCTATTGGGTTACCCACAGTTCCATGCAAATCACGCCAAAAACTCTTCGTAACAGACCGTTTCATTGGCTAACCCCTCACATCAACTAGAACGCTGGTTATATATAACAACTCTTCCAGATCCTAGTGCAGTAAAGACAAGTAAAACGAAATTTTGAACTATAAAAAACGAAACGAAATAGGATCTGTGTTTTAATCAGATTGCTATAATATGAATGCAAAAAGGATTCAGTTCTGTTCAGTATTTACAAAGCTATGAGAAATTGAAATTGAAGTGAAAATCTTCTTAACAAGTTTAAAATTTGCCAATGATGAATGCCTGACATGTTTTAATCAGATTGTGTCACAGCTGTAATGAATCCATGGTGTTTATCAGCCTAATTGTAACCAGTAATTGTATTTAATATTTCATCTAGGTATTGTGTCCTGTAAATTTCAATGAATCAATTGTGTGTATATTTGTTTATTTTACAGGGAAATCTTCATTAACTATACAGTATGTTGAAAATCAGTTTGTTGATTCTTATGATCCAACTATAGAAAACAGTAAGTTTATAATTATACTGAAATTATTGAGAGAGAGATGGAGTGAGAGAGAGACACAGAGGGAGAGAATTGGTGTTTAATATTAAATCACTTGAATGTAGCTAGTATTACCAGATTATTCATGGAGAGAGAGAGAGAGAGAGAGATAGAGAGAGAGAGAGAGAGGGTTTAAGGTCCACTGAACACAAACTAGATCATTTTGGGACTAACATATGGTTCAATTTTATTTCAATAATTCGCTTAGGCATAGGCGTCTTTAGCAGTGGGAGGAAACCAGAGGACCTGGAAAAAACCCATGAGGTTGGACAGACATTCCGACTCATTGTCACGTACAACCGGGGAATCGAAACCACGCCAGTTGACTCAATGACAGATCTTATCATACAGCGTGCATTCCCTAACCATTCGGTCATCCAACCTCCCTAAATTATTCATGGAAGAAACTGGGACGCTTGTTTTATGATCAAGCAAAGGCAAAGTTGGGGCCTGGAGCGCTTGACTGCCACAAGTTTACTAGAGGGGTTCAAGGCCATAGGAATCATATATCTCATAAATATCAGTCCAAAAATGGTTCCATTTGGTTCAAGGGGTGTTGGATGGCCAAATAGTTAGCGTGTTGTATCATAAGGTCTGTCACTGGTTTCGATTCCCCGGTTGTACGTGGCAAGGTGTAGGGTCGTCTGTCCAACCTCGTGGGATTTGGTCCATCCGGCTTCCTCCCACTTCTTAATACCCCCACGTGCAAGCAAATTAATTGAAATAAAATTGAACCATGTGTTATTCCTGAAATGGCCTAGTTCGGGTCGAGTGGACATTAAAGCTTATTTCTCTTTCTCTCTCTCCTCGCCCCCCCCCCGCCCTTCAGTATTTATAAAGATATGTGGAATGTTACTTTTATTTTTATGTTTTTAGCATTTCAGAAAGTTATAAAAATACGAGGTCAAGAATATAGTTTACAACTTGTAGATACAGCTGGGCAGGTAAATTACCATATTTTTTGTTTAATGTTTAATACAGGCTTACTAACCAGACGTCCGAGGCTTGATCCTTGAGATTTTCCAGCCTGGTTTCCATAATCATCTCTCGATGTCAAAGCTAGCCTGCAATGTTTATTGGATTAGGTTCCGATTTGCTGTTCGACTTCCATTCATGATTTAATCATGAAATGGATAATCGAGACTATGTTTTTTATCGCACCGACTTACGTAATAATGATCGAGGCTAGGCTGAAAAAAATTCAATCTCTAAAATTTTGGTTCAAAGTCGATCAATTTGACTTAAATTTTTTCCAAATTGCCTTTACCTTATCTAGTTTTTAACTATTATAGTGAGAAGTTCCAGCTCTTTATCTTATCTCCCATAATGTATCTTTAAATTATGTCAAATTAATAGTTTATATAACATTTCAGGCCTAAAGAAAGACCTGCAATAGGCCTAAAGAAAGACCTGCAATAGGCCTAAAGAAAGACCTGCAATAGGCCTAAAGAAAGACCTGCAATAGGCCTAAAGAAAGACCTGCAATAGGCAGATTTAGCTCTTACATAATGTATGTTTAAAGATAACTGCTCAGGCAATGTATGTTGAAATATAATTATTATTTCTCTTCTAGGATGAATATTCTGTTCTACCTCAGTCGTATTTTACCAATATTGATGGTTATGTACTAGTTTATTCTGTAAACTCATCAAAAAGGTTTGTACTAAATTTTGGGCTTCTAAAAAGAAAAACAATCACAAAAAATTTCTGTTCTTCTTATTTTGACAATAGTTTGCTAGTTAAAAGTCTTGTAGGTTACTTGATTCTGTGGCCAGAATGGCTCAGTGTATAAGGTGCTGGTGTCTTGGTATATCCAACTAGCTTTCAGTGTTGCAGGACAAGGAACAGGGCCTGGCAAGGAGAGAGAAAGAGAGACAAATGGGGTTTAAGGTCCACTCGACACAAACAAGGTCATTTCAGGACTGACATATGGTTCAATTTTATTAATTTTATTTCAATAATTAACTTGAATGTAGGAGTCTTTAGAAGTCGGAGGAAACTGATATAATGTGCATGTGCTAAGCATTCAGCCATCCATTTCCCCTTGGCAGTTGGAATTTGAGGGCCTGACAAGGAACAAAGTCAAGTCATTTGACTGTGGTACCGTGTACATATTGCAGTGCACGTTAAAAAACCTGTGACAGTTGGAATTCAACAAATAGTAGGTGGAAGTACTGCTGTGTACCTTTAGAGGTCAAACTTAGCTTCTGGCATGATGCATGGCATATACCCAACTTCATTAGTTGAGTCAGTGCAGAACAGTCGGATATTAAACACCATTTATATATTGTATGTGTTCATAATAAAGAAATATATCCATTACTTGATGGTGTTTTTTTTTCTTTCAGCCTAGATGTGATAAAATATGTGTATGATAAAATATTAGACATGAAAGGAAAGACACAGTAAGTAATTATTTTACTTAATAGTAACTGCAGGAGGACTGCACAACACACAAAACACAACCGTCAAGACAAACCTGGGGACAAAACATTGCAAGAAAAAAACAAATATCAAATCAAGTGAATGGATCCGGTGGCCAGCCGTAAGCGTGCAGTGTGTGTGAAAATTACTAACATATATCAATATATCATTCTTCTCACAAGTTATGGATCTTGTCAAACATCAACACAAGCCTTGCTATTCTGCGCTTTACGAGCCAATGTCATAAAATGTTTTTGTGAAACTTTGTACACAACCTATTTCGTAATAAGATATTTCTTTGATCTAATATTTTTTGTTGAAAGTTATCATTGGTTATCAGAAGAACTTGATCAGCCAATCAGATACTGTGTCTCAAGGAAATTGGGATTAACTACAGTACTACAGATATAAATGTGTTTGCATCAAAAGAAATGTATTTTTATACGCCCACATTTTCATGTGGTCGTATATTGTCGTCGCCCCTGTCCGTCCGTCCGTCCACAATTGTTTGTGAACAGTCTACAGGCCACAATTTGTATCCGATTTCAATGAAACTTGAAATATAGGTTTATCACCCTAAGATCACGGTTCCTTTCGATATTGGCATCTATCGGACCGTAACTTCATGGATTATGGCCCCTGATTGTACGAAAAATCACGTTTTTGGCTTGTGAACACTGTAGAGGTCACAATTTTTATCCGATTTTGTTGAAACTTGAAATGTAAGTTTATAACCCAAAGATCTCTGTTCCTTTCGATATTCGCGCATATCGGACCGTAACTTACTGAATTATGGCCCCTGATTGTACGAAAAATCACGTTTTTAGCTTGTGGACCCTATAGAGGTCATAATTTTTATCCGATTTAAAAAAACATATTATTATATCACCGTTACACCCTAAGGGCAATTAAGTTAGAATTTCGTGAAAATCGGCCCAAAACTGACAGACAAAATGGCCACCCCGCGTTCTCAAATTGCGTAAAAATATGCTATATCAAGGTTGTGGACCGTACAGAGGTCACAATTTTTATCCGATTTTGTTGAAACTTGAAATGTAAGTTTATAACTCAAAGATCTTGGTTCCCTTCGATATTTGCGCATATCGAATTGTAATTTCCTGAATTATGGCCCTTGATTGTAGGAAAAATCACTTTCGTTTTAGCTTGTTTTCTATCCATCTCTTGGCAGCCGCTGGTTAAATCTCCTCAACACAATATTTGGTCATTTTGAGACCAACATATAGATATTTTTGTTTGGTCAAATGGCTGAAAGAGTTCCTTGAGAGTTGCCAGCCTTGTTCTACTGTAGCAGGATGGGTGGGCCAGGCAAGAATAATTGTCTATTTGTTGGCGAGGGCCATGTGTTAGTCCCGAAATGACCTAGTTTGTGTCGAGTGGATGTTAAACCCCATTTCTCTCTCTCTCTATATATAACCCTCGTTAGGGATAAGCCAATTAAATGGTCTTTTACAGCGAGGTCTTAGCTAATCAAATATCAGACGTCATAGGGTCAAAAGTTGCTCGTATGACCGCTGACGCGACCTTTCACACCATCTGGTTAGATCTTCTTTTAGTGGAGGCCATCGAAAGTATAAAAAAACGTAAAGAAATATTGATCTATTTTAATCAGATTGAGAAAGTTGCCATCACTGGATCTACTTTGACTGTTTAAATTGTATGGCATTTTTTATTTTAGAGTTCCAGTTGTTTTGGTTGGTAATAAAAGTGACCTTAGAATGGAGAGGTAGGCTGAATTTAAAAATTAATATTAATCATTGATTGATTTGATTGATTACACTTGTAATTAGTAGACATAAATTCACATTGGGGTGCTCGATTGTGAGTCCGGAACATCCCGAATTGACAGAATTGCAATCAAGTGATTGGTTGAGATATTTTTTATGCAGTCAGCACGTACATGCGTTGTACTCTGAAATTCTCCTTTTCACTCAATTGACACTATTTTTGGAATTGAGAAAATTTAATTCTGTAACTTCAATCTAGTGTCCCCGTACTATTTGCTATTCTGGATTTACCTCCCTTTATATATGTTGTTCCGAATTGACAGACCTGCAATTGAGTAAAAAGGAATCCAGTCCCATCACAGACAATGGAGGTGGTGTCAATGGAATCATAACCTCATTAAACACAACAAATATGTTTCAGATGTCATGGTTGGTTGAGGTATTTTCTTATGCATATGGCACAAACTTTGCAGCCTGAAATCCTTGTTTCAATTGGTTGTCTCTATTATTGTGATTGAGAGAATTCTATTCCAGAACGTTCAAACAAGTATCACTGTAACCAGGGTATCATTTAATCTTGTGTATCTAGCACTAATTTATTTCACATATGTCTAATATCAAATTTTTGTTTAAAAATTCGTAAAACGTTTTAAAATCACCATAAATCATCTAATTTATACTTTGATATTAAACGAATGTGAAATAAATTAGTGCTAGATACACAAGATTAAATGATACCCTGGTTACAGTGTATCCCCAGTATTTATTGCAGATCTCCATTGACCCGAAAGGGACTAACATGCCAGGGCCAGACAAGGAACAGTGCACATTAGCATGAATGTAAAAATAAACATAGGCAGCTGGAAGTTGACTTATCATTATGGCGAATTGCCACTGTTCTGGCAAAATTCTCCGTATAGCACAATGCATGGTTATGTCCATTAATCATTCGGTTGTTGGGACTGGCAGAACTTTGAAGGGACTCATTTCTGTTTCCCTCGATTCCTATTCTGTTAATTCTGAACGTCCTGGAATCACAATCAGGCATCCGGTTAGCTTTTATAATTCGATAGGAACTAAGTATCCTGATTAAATATAAAGTAAAATGTATTTTGTAACGGGTTATTAATATTATTATGGTTGTTTTTGCTCCCGGGGGGTGGGGTGGGGGGGGCTGAATGGTTAGCATGTGCGCGCTGTACCATAAAGTCTGTCATTGAGTAAACTGGCGTGGTTACGAATCCCCGGTTGTACGTGGCAAGGAGTAGGGTTGCCTGTCCAACCTCGTGGGTTTTCTCCGGGTCCTCTGGTTTCCTCCCACTGCCAAGCGAATTATTGAAATAAAATTAAAACCATGTGTTAGTCCCGAAATGACCTAGTTTGTGTCGAGTGGACGCTAAACCTCATTTCTCTCTCTCTCTTTTTTGCTCCGGATTTAGTAATGTTTATTTTGATGATACAGGGAAATCATTAGTTGTGTTTATTTTGATTATACAGGGAAATCAGTTTTGATGATGGTAAGAAAATAGCTGAATCGTGGAAAGCACCATTTTTAGAAGCATCAGCCAAAGAAAACCAGGTAGGGTATTCTCTTGAATTAATTCATTAATGTGGCCGCCAGACCTTTACAAGGATATAATTATTATATAGCTCAATCCCTTTTAATGCAGGGAGCCATGGTGGCTCAGTGAGTAGGATGTTGGCTCGCTAACCTTGAGGTCGCTTGTTTGATTCCTGCATTGGGCGAGAAAGTTCATTGAGATTTTGCGGAACGCTTCAGTGCGACAGGACAGAGGTCCTAGCATGGACAACGTATAGGCATTCGGATGGGTTGGAAAAACAAGGTCCCTTCTACACATTGGCATCCAGGTTAAAGATCCGTTGATCATTGGAATTCAATATAAGAGTAGACCATAGCACCACTGTCTGTGCAAAAGTTGATGGCTCATTTACCTGACAGTACTACAGGGTTCTATTCCTGTTTACACTTTGGCATGCAGGTTAAAAAAAAAATCGTTGACAGTTGGAATTCATTTGCTGACCAGGCAAAATTCCAGCATAGCACACTGCATGACTGGCTGTAGGTGCAGAAAAATCATTAATTTATTCATTTATTCGTTCATTTATTCATGCCCCTGTATGGTTTATGTATGAAGGAGCCAGGGTAGCTCAGTGAGCTAGGTGCTGGCTTGTTTAGCTGGCGGTACTGGGTTCGTTCCATATGTTGGTTACAAAATTTCCTGTTTATACTTAGGCGTGCACGTAAAAGAACCCTTGACAGTTGGAATTCATTGTTCAAAAATGTCCCTCATAGCACATTGCACGACTGGTTGTAGGTGCAGAAAGGTACACATAGGTGGCTAAATATCATTTATTCAATTCATTCTTTCTCCTGTATTGTTTATTGGGGGGGGGGGGGCGGGCGAATGGTTAGCACGTGCGAGCTGTATCATAAAGCCTGTCATTGAGTCAACTGGCGTGGTTTCGAATCCCCAGTTGTACGTGACAAGGAGTAGGGTCGTCTGTCCAACCTCTTGGGTTTTCTCCGGGTCCTCCGGTTTCCTCCCACTGCTACAGACCCATACGCGCAATCGAATTATTGAAATAAAATTAAACCATATGTTAATCCCGAAATGACCTAGTTTGTGTTGAGTGGACGTTAAACCTCATTTCTCTCTCTGTATTGTTTATTATTTCATTTATTCATTCATTCAGTAATTCATTCATTCATTCCCTTGTATTGTTTGTTATTATTTCAGAGTGTACAAGATGTTTTTACACAGATATTGATGACAGTAGAAAAATCAGAAAATGTTGGACAAGAGAAAAGTAGTTGTATTTTATCTTAAAGTTGGGTTAGAATCTTACAACAAAATATCATCCCTTTATTTTATACACCTAGAAGGGCTACAATAAAACGCAAATTGTTGACTATGTCACATCTGGACGAACATTCTAATTAAAAATCAACTTTAAAGGGATTGAGTGCAAAATAAACACAATGAAAACAAAATCTAATTGGTCCTGTCACTGTAACCCGGGTATCATTTAATCTTGTGTATTTAGCACTAATTTCTTTCACATTCATTTAACATCAAATTTTTGTTTAATAATTCATAAAAATCGTTTAAAATCACCCAAAATCATCTAATTTGTACTTGTGTCCAGTTTAAAAATGATTGATTAATTTTGATAATGAGTGCCTAATTTACAAGTATTCAATTTTCTGACCACTGTTTAAAAATTATTCATTATACACCAATAATCAATTGGGTTGTTTATTTTTTAACAGTGGTTGAGAAATTAAACACTTTTAAATTGGTAAATTGGACACTCATTATCAAAATGGAATGGTCAGCTTTAAACTGAATGATTTTTGGTGATTTTAAACGATTTTTACAAATTTTTAAACAAAGATTTCATGTTAAACGAAGTTGAAAGAAATTAGTGCTAAATACCAAATATTAAATGATACCTGGGTTACAGTGTTACTTAACATAAAATAGCCTGTAAATAGTTTCTGAATATACAAGGAAACCATGACGAGGAATTTGAAAGCCATGTGGTTAAATATCCAATATAATATTTTTTTAAAATAAGTACAGATCAGTGATAATAGACTAATGTCCATAAGAAAGTATACATCGTCCATTTGGTGCTGCATCAACCAAAATAATTTTTCCATTGTATGTGGTATTTGGGTACAATGTCAATTTGTTTCACTTTGTTTATTTTGCTTAGAAATGTTGAGTTTGGACGCAAGAGACGAACTCAGTAACGTTTCATCAAATGTTTTTAATCTAAAAAAAACTTAGTCCTATATTTATTGCGTATACTTTCTTTTGGACATTTGTATAGTAAATTCTGCTTTTGAATGAAAACAAAACATCTATGTTTAGGCACAAATAGATTAGGAATTAGGCTAGAACTTACACAATGTTCCATATAAGCCTGACAATAATAAGGCACCTGTCACAGACAATGTCAGACACAGATTCAGGCTTTGTCAGGCACTAAACCTCTGGTGCCTGTCATTTTGTCCGGCACTGATTTTTCTTTTTTATTGATATTACTAATACATGTCCGGCACTAAGTTGAAAATGTCAGGTACTATTTCATTTTGCTAGGTACATCTAAAAGCGTTATTTCCAGGCCTGTTGATTTAAAATTACTCCCTTTTGTAATGATGCTGTCATATTTCCTGAGACATGGATAGGGCCTAAATATTTTAAGAATGAAACAGGCATTATGTAAGAGCTAGGCCTGCCTATTGCAGACATTAAATGTTGCTTAGACATTTAATATCTTACCAAGATCCTAATCAAATCTCGATGCCATTAGATACGTTAGATTTTCAACATATGATTTGCAGTTGATGATTTAACGTAAAAATGGATAATCAAGACTTTGTTTATTATCGTAACGATGGTAGCAATGACAATTGAGGCTACTCTGTTCTTGTAACGCTGGTAACTTGGCTCAGAGTGAAGTAATTTACCTATTTGTCAGCTCTTTATCCAATCTTACATAATGCCCCTTTAATTAATTCGGCATCCTCAGCATACAATGTATTCGATAGGGTCAACACAAGTCAGCATCACCTATGATTTCCGCAGAAATCTTTTGATTGGCTTCTTTTTAATCCAATTCATCCAAACCAGGAGATTGTCTACCGTTGATATTTTTATTTTTTTTTCTTTAATAAATGATATTATAAGGACTTTTGAGTACAATCTAGCGTGGATTATTGTCCCAAAAATTCAAAAAGAAGATCAGCAACTCTAAATAATGCCCATTCATATCATACATGCTGTTGAATGGGTGTCAGAAATGAGCTGCATGGTAACCATGGAGATGATGTCATATTGTCTCTGATGTCATCATTATAATCAGTCACATGGGTAACTGTAGCTTATTGGCTGATAAAACTCCAATTTTTACGTCATTAGTGTAATTGAATTTACGTCAATAACAGTTAGCTCATAAATTAACAGTGATACTGTAAAAGTATTTTATGTTGCTATCTTTCAATGCAGGATTAAAATTGTGAAAATAATACATCAATAATTAATGTCTTTAGTCTAGTTGATTTTAAGGCAAGAAATAATAGTCATATTGTATAAATATTTTATGTCGCTGAATTCTCGGCACAATTAAAATTGTAAAAAAAATATATCAATAATTAAGTAAATAAACGTCCATGTACATTTGAACTTTTACACAAGCACCTGCTTCTAATTGTCGTATTCTACTAGCCCTGAATTATGATTATGGTTGTTATTGAATTATCTTGGTGAAGAATATTTTAGAATAGTCAAATTTTTCAATTAGGAACTGGGCCCTGTTTCTCGAAATCTTAACTAAAGATAGAATCCAAATATTAGTAGATACTTCAATTTTGATTGGCTAAGCACTAAAATCAATCTAATATTATCCAATCAAATTACTAAAATTTGGATTTTATCTTAGTTAAAATTTTGTGAAAAAGGCCCCAGGTCCGTAAGCACTGATTATCTTATTGTTCTTGTTGGGGGCGACGTTCTTCACAAAGATCCTACCTAAGACTGCTCTGGTTCACGTACAATCAACATGAAACTAGGCATGCTTGTACCTCTGACAATTGTGCAATGATCTGACAGACTTCAGATTTTGATATGACGTCACAATGCCAATATGGTGATGATGATGTCCTGCTCCGTTCCTAGTCCATGCTATAAGTACTATTGATATGAAACTTGACATGCATGTACCTTAGACAATTGTGCATCAATTGACGAACTTTGAATTTTGATGTAATATCACAATTCTGCGATAACTATATAATACTATTATACCAGTACTTGTTTCACCATTTGATGCTTTCTTTCACAATCAAATTCAGACCATTGCTGTAAAATGCTTAAAATTCTTTGCTTAAAGTCTCTAGAGCTATCCTTGTTGTCCATTTAATCATTTTAAAGTCTATAGGAGATCAGATGATGACCATCAAATTCAGACCAATACTGTAATATGGTTACAATTCTCTGATCACTCTTTTGACTAGATGATGACCCTGGGAAATGTTTTTAAGGGAGGAATATCTAGAATTTATGATAACAAATGATTTCCACCGCCAGTTTCTAAGAATTATAGACACGTCAGTTTGTTGCAGTTTGTTCAACGGGTCACGTTTAAACCCTCGACGAGCCGAATCTGGCCTGTTGGGCCGTATGTTTGACGCCCCTGATCCAGATCATAGTTCCATGATCTGAAACCGGACAGACACTCCTCCCTCCCTCACCAGGTGTTCTCTACCCCGTCATTTCTTCCCTCCATCATCCTCCAGCCACCGGCTGTAGTATACCCTTCTGCCTAAGCAAAGTATAGGTGATATGCAATCCCTGTTCTTGTAAACTGGCTTTAATGTAAGCTTTATATAAGACCACTCCGCATATAACTAATGCATCTTAGACAACGCAAATAACTTTGACACCCATAAGAACTACTAAACCGTCCTACAACACAGAGTGTTGTTGACATAACTTAGTCGGTTTGCAGTTTGAATTGGTCCAAGGAACGTTAGTTTCAGATGGTTTCAGGCTGTTCAGATATATATTTATATGTAACATTAATTGTCTCATAGCATTTAGTAACTGAATAAAGCAATAATACATATTTATGGCAGAGCAACTACTGATTTATTTTGGGGGTGTTTCCCTCAGAGTATTCTCTCAGAGTTTTCAATCTAGTACAAAATAAATTGGCAATTGCTCTTCAATCAGTATGTGTTATAGTTTACTGGCCTAAAATAGATCACTTTTCTCTCAATCTGATAAAAAACACAGATCCTATTTCGTTTCATTTTATTATAGTTCAAAAACTTGTTTTACTTGTCTTCACTACAGGCCATCGAAAGTATAAAAAAAAAAAATGAAACGAAATATAGATCTGTATTCTAATCAGATTGCTTTTCTCTATACTATCTTCAAGGAACTGGCCGGGGTGGCTAATTTTTCATTTACCGGATCCCAAAGGGTTAATATCAAAGTAAATGTGTGAAATAAATAGACTAGAGGATCACCTCTCTTTTCAAGTAAACGGCATAGTCAATATTTAAATATGTACCAAGTGCTGAATAGTTAAGTGTTGCTTTGTGAAATAAATATATTTAATTTATTATGTATATCTTTAAAAATGAATGAATTATGATTTGTTTAGGGTTAAATAATTCTAACTATATAGACAATATTGCCATATATTGATCGTTAATTTACATTAAACCAATTTTTATAAAATGAGGGACTTCCCCTATTGTCATCTGGTTTTATTTACGACCTCTATGTGAAATCAGGGGTTCCCCCTTTAATAGACTAAATTATCGTATTTTTGGGGTTTGATTTAATTACTTAAACCTGCCTACTTTATAGGTTTTAATTTAGTATAAACATGACAGCCATGCTTGATAATATATATTGTCTGGATAATTGAGATTACCTTTACGCACATCACATCATTAGAAATTTTACTTGATTAACAAGACACTGGGCCTGATGTACATCATATCGTTAGAACATGTTCTCGATTAACAAGACTCTAGGCCTGATGTTAATCATATCGTTAGAACCATTTCTCTATTAACAATACACTGGGCCTGATGTACATCATATCGTTAGAACATGTTCTCGATTAACAAGACTCTAGGCCTGATGTTAATCATATCGTTAGAACATTTTCTCGATTAACAAGACACTGGGTCTGATGTTAATCATATCGTTAGAACATGTTCTCGATTAACAAGACACTACGTCTGCTACACATCATATCGTTAGAATTTGTTCTTGATTAACAAGACACTGGGCCTAATGCACATCATATCGTTAGAATTTTTTTTCTCAATTAACAAGACACTGGGCCTGATGCACATCCACAAATAACTCTTGGGTATTTTACTTGTCCAGAGGGTTCAAAAATATTTTTTAATCCAAGTCACATTTGAAAAGCTTTACGTCAGGCTTTTCAAATCATTTAGTTGAATTTTTCCAATTTTTTAAATTAGGTGTGTTAAGATGAAATTTGTATCATCAATTAATTGGAATATTGTAAAATAGTACAATTTGTTGACCAGAATAAAGATTGGGACATATTATTCAGTTACAACAAGAGTGGTATTGAACCTTTAAAAATTCTGTTTATAGGTTTAGTTTGTTGGCAGTTTGTTTTGTTTAATTGTTGGAAGAGAAGTTTTGTACAATTTTGTAATTTTGTTGCTAGTAATTTTTAAATGTTTTCTTTCTGCTGAACGGGTCTGATGGAATAAACCGTTACTTTACATATACATTTATTATCATAACATTGCGCACACACGAAGCTGGCAAATGATCTATGCTTTCAATTCATTTGGTCTGTTCTGTT